AAGAACAACAGGTAAAATTTTTTTCAAAAATTTCTAAATAGAGAACCATAAATACCTGAACCAAACGTCCGAAGTTCGTTACGTTAGCACTCCAACCTTCGGATGGTTTACGCTGTGGTGTCTGCCACGAATCGTGAGATCTGTAGACTAGTGATAAGAGTTCAGCAACAAACAAAGGACAAGCATTCTCACCTATTTGTGAGCAAGCTATCTTGGCTCATCATGCTAACCGAACGGGACGGCAGAGCAACACCTCCTGGAGTAGACGTAACATGCACACTATTGAATGGATTCCTGACCCTTGGTGGATGAGGGCTGCGAGCAGCTGAGTTTGCCGAACGTAGATCTGGGATCCCTTGGATAGGAACGAAGCGACGAGGAGATGTGACAGGTTCTTGTTGTACAACAACTTAATAAGCAAGTTAAGTAATAAAAAGGAAAAGAATAAAAATAACAACAAAACTCAAGGCAGTAGTAATTGTAACATACTGCTCTGCCTACCAGTTGGGGCAGGTTCAAAAATCTCGAACAAATCGGCCAAAAACACATTGATGTTCATTTGGAGCGAATCGTGAAGATAAAGGATATCCTCGATTTCAAAATGAAACGGATTCCATGGCAGACAATTATGGCAGAACCGCCTAAATAATGCAGCATGTGTACATATAAAGTGATATGAAGTGATCTCCTTGAAATTAACTAGAATATTAACAATATAAGGACTGACTGTAATAAGAGTAAGTTGTAGTGGCAATGTGCTGTACTCATCTGATCATTATAACATATATCTGGAAATAGAGAAATGAAAAGCTCTCAATGACGAACCAGAGTGATGAATGTACCTTCAATTTCCATTTCTCTTGGTCTGTACCAAGCGACAAGAGTGCAAAGACATTGTCCATCACTAATTTCGTCATATAAGTCCTCCATTTCCGGAATCATTCCACCGTCGGTACCCCCTTCACATCACTATAGATTAGGGCCAACAAAAGTGTGGGTATATTGGGATCACCTTTCAACTGAATTTGTGACCTTTCCACGTCATCTCTGACCAAAAGGCAGACCTTATTGATCCAGAAAAGTAGTGCATCAACCGAATCCATTGGTCTCTCGCTTTCATCAACGGTGGTATGTCGACTAAGAAAAAAGGAATCTGGCTAGCTCAATAGGTAAGGTTTGAAACATAGGTGGCAGAAAAAGCACACCTTACGGCATCTATTACTCGGTTAACTGTGATGACATTGCGAAGGTGAGCTTGCATTAGCGCATCCATCATTGCCAAATGAGCCGTCTAATTTTTGAAAATACAAAAAAATATCAAGTGAAATGTCGCATGTAGGCTCACAATATTGAAATTGTCCGCAGAAAACAGCAAATTTTCCGTGACTGGTCCCCCATCGGAGCTTTGCACAACATCGATACCATAGTCTACTAATGCGGCTAATACTGCCCCGTGAGACTGCTGAAAAGAAGAACGTGCTGATTGTCAAGAAAAAATCCGTATCCGCACAGTTAAAGTTCCAGCTTCACTTCATATTGCTCTGGGATTCGATTAATATAGTAAAAAATGAATTCTTTGAGCTCCTTATAAGCTAATATAAATACAGCAACTTTCCTCACTTAAATATATCTCAAATACAATCAAGAAACATTGAGTCTGTATAAAAGGCAACATCCATTAGAATTTTCCAAATTAGTAAAACAATGCTATTTTCCCTTCTGTTGAATAAAGAAGAAATTTCCTCGGAGATTTCCATGACATTTCCACTATAGTAAGTTTTACTTCTAACCCATAGACAATGTTGTGATCATTTTATTTGAAAGAATGGTAAGAGTTTTACTACACCGCTAACATAGATAGTCAACCCTGCTTGCTTTGAGATTTGTAAATGATGATTGAATCAAGATATCTTAACAATACTACCGTTACTAATTGCGGCTCCTTGAAGATTTTGGCAGCTGCTTGAGAATACAAAGATCCATTTGTTAGACCAGTAAGTATAGCAACATCTAGTTGGAGATGACCCTGTAAAATGTTTTGGTTTAATTTGTTGGTCTAGGAGAAATAGGGCTTACTCGTTCATCCCGAAATGCGCCATGTCGCAGCTTGTCGGGTATGTCCTTTTCTTGTTCATACACACGTAGGATCAGCCATCGAATAGACGCTGCAAGTTTTCCCTAAATAAAACTTCTTAATGAGCGCTACCCATGCTTTAACGAGGCTTATGATAATATTATGAAGTATTCAAAAGAATGAAGAAGGAGCATAGAGCATTCTCAAAAAAATTCTCTATGGTGACTATACGCGTGTTTAATCATTATTCAGATAGGCAATGACGTAAATACTTTGTTTTCCCGAAAATAGCGAGAAAGTAAAGATCGTCAAGTAAAGGCTTGATTCTTTTAACTATTTTAGTTGGTCAGCAGAGGTCTTGTTTAAAAAAAAATCAAAAGCAAATTTTCCATCGACTGATCATTTTCATCACAACCCCCTGTCTTTACAGTGAAATTCTAGTCTTTGAATGAGAAAAAGTAAAGGTTGGTTTAACGAAAATAAAATCTCCTCCAGATTTGTGGTTAACGCTTTAATATTTTTATAGAAACTCCTAATCATATGCAAGCTAAAAGTATTTTCTATCAAGTCGATAAAAAGTTGGTGTCAACATGGGCTTCCGCTAGTTGATTGGCTTCATTGAACTTCAAAACATCAAGTATTGACATAAAATTCGGAATTTTGTCAGTTTTTGGCATGTTTCTCTGATAAGTATCGATTAATTCAAGTGAGTCACTTAAGTAGAGAGAGGAAAAAGTCGTGCATCAGCCAATTTAGGCACTTATATTGTAAAATCTATAGGAGAAGGCAAGTCGAGTAAAAATACGTAG